ATCTATAAGTTTGTAGTTATTTTTAAAACCAATATTGATATTATTTTGTTTTAGAATACTTTTAATTTTATAATTTATGTCATTATAAGGTAAAGAACGAAATGTGGTGTGTTCATTAGTATCCTTAGTAAATAATGGGTCTAATTTTATTATAACATTATATAGTATTTTATTAATTATATTTGGGGGATAGTTATTTTCTATGGCAAGTTTATTTATGAAATTAAATTCGTTTTGTATAGAAGTTGCATTAATAGAATATCTTAGCATTCTACAGTTTATTAGAAAACTGAGAAAGACCTCTTTTAATTTTTACCTCATTTGGAACATTTAAAGATTAATTTTTCTGCACTTTTGTATAGAAAGTCGTTTATTTGATCATCATATTTCAAATCTTTGGTCAAATCACTATTTAATGCCATAATTGTTAAATAATGTAATTTTTCATTTGACATGGTTATTCTATATTTATTTTCTATATGTATAAGACATTCTAGAAAATGCTCGCTCCGCCTCGCAGCTCGTGATTGGCAACGTTAAAAAATGTTTAAGATTGTGTATGAATTAGGAAAAACATCGACCAGCTTCTTGTTAAAAATCAATTTGAATATATCACTGCAAGTTATACAATTCGGCCTTATTAGTCTGCATGTGCGACTTTAGTTGAGTTAATTCATTTAATAAATAATGTTCGTCAATATCATCGGAATAATTAGTGATGATATCTCGCGTACTTTCAGGTGTATTTTCTCTATATTTTTGTCTTGTAAATCTTTTACTAAATACTTTATAATCATTATCTTTTAACTTCACGATCAACTTGTCTAAAACTACAATTAGTGTCTCGCGATTAAATTTTTCAGCCTCACGCAATAAGATCTTTTCTGTCGATTTGTCAGAAAATTTTGATTTAATCTTCCTCTTATTTATATCACTGTAGTCTTTTTTTACATCTGTACCCAATTTTTTCGCTGCTTCTTCAGATTCTCTTAATTTTTCAACTTTATTGCTCCCGTATGTGGAATACTAACTATTATTAACTACAATTAACTAACGAATATTACTAATGAACTAATTAATTTCACTCCTTCACATTTGCCAGTTGCATTAAATCTCTCCTAAAACACTGTTAAAATTGCGGTTTCTAGCTTTTTTAAATTATTATATATGTATATTCTGAGCTTCTTTTCGAAAATCGATCTTTTCATTTTTATTCTCACTAAAACTTTTTAGTATTGCCATTATATTGAAATAACTATCTTTTAACGCTCTGACGCCATCATAATGGCAAGACCACTTAGTTTGGCTTAAACTTTTGATTGAAAATTTAAGTTTTTCTTCACTATTCAAGAGCTTCCATCTGTGGGAAGAAGCATAAAAGAAAACATATATATGATGAACTACTCCAAAAAATATTAATGACCTGAGTTGAAGTCTTAACTGTTTCCTTACCAACAAGATTTAGGGAGTGAGCAGCACATGGCACATAATCAGCATATTTATTGTTTTCTTTGACATGTGCTTGTTACCCAGTATATTGATCGGACATATTTGTACCGTTGTCAAATGACTGCCCTCTGCAATTAACCAGAGGCAGTCCATGTTCTTGTAGAAATGCTTGTAGAGAATTAAATAAATATAATCCAGTGTGACTGCTAATTTTAATAAAAGAAACACACCTTAATAATTGTTTTTATCACCTCTTTTCCCATTATCTCTATTATTTGTTCGTAAGTTGTTTTAGAGTATAAAGTATGAAATAGAAGACTTTGGTCGCAGCTCTCACTGTAGGATATTTTGATGCAGGAATGGATCAAATTCTGCTGTTAATTCTACAGGCCCTATGAATTTACCGTTGTGAGGAGGTCCAAATATTTTCTCGTGATCCCTGAATGCTAAGCCTCTACACTTAAATATTTAACTACTGCGATGACTCGTTTTAGGACTTCATGATAATTATTGGTTGTTGTCTCTTAGTTGTTCTTGCAACTGCTTGTCAATATCAGACTTATTCTCCTTACGTGTTATCCAGACTAGCAATGATTTTTTGTGTTCATTAGAGTTTTCGTGACTTTCTAAACAAACTCCTATATGTTTCCAATCAGAGCATCCAGTTTAATACTGGATTTTAGAAAAAAGCTTACAAACTAGACAATAAACAGTTCCCTAACTAGTAGAATAAAATAGCCAAGATCTTTCTAATAATTGACCATTTTTAATTTTTTTTTTGAAGGGAGTATTGGTTGGAATTTGGGGCTGTGTTTATGTGTTGGATAAATGTAAACTTTAGTTAAATTTTAACCACCGGTGTAAAAACATGCAAACTTTTTATGATTCTTATTATAATAGAAACAAAATCAGCAAAATAGTAAAACAAATATTTTATTTCCCGAGAACATTAAATAAGAACAGTGTTTATGTTTACGAAAGATATAAATATATCTATTCGTTATGCCTGAATTCTAAAACAGAACTAACAGTATCTTATTGAAACGAAGATTTCTAGGAGTTCCCAACATGTAAAAGTCAATATAGTAAAGTTACTTTATCTATGTGTATTCTATCAGAAGCTGAATATTGGATACTTATAAACTAAAACTATCTGTATGACGACGATATTAATTTGTGTACAAACAAAACTTGGGAAGCGTTTCTTATCTTCACATCATCTTATATATGATGCTATTACATTAAAATCGCAACTTTTGTGCCGAAATTTGTGGTACTGAAACCGAAACTTTCTCATATAACCTTACACATTCAATAAAAATATTCGATTAATATATTGTATGTGGAAAGATGGGATCCAGAACGAGGCATGGTTGGAAGCATCAAGGGTGGTGAGAGTGAAGTTGTTGGAGGGGATGAATAGCGTATGGAGAGGGGGTGAGATTCCGGAGGGATGGAAAGTGGGGGTAATTTGCCCAGTATATAAAAAGGGTAATAAGGGAAGGGAGGGTAGAGAGCTACAGAGGAATTAACCTACTAGACTCGGCATACAAGGTATACACGAAGATACTGCTGGGAAGACTGGAGGAGGAGATGGAGTTGGGGGGAATTTTGCCGGATGGGCAGGCAGGCTTTCGGAAGGGAAGGGGAGCAATCGACAACGTGTACGTGTTGAAGCATCTGGCAGATAGAGAGCTGGATAAGAAGGGAGGGAAATTGTACGCCCTGTTTATAGATTTGAAGGCGGCTTTTGATAAGGTGGATAGGGGAAAGTTGTGGGAGGAGATGGGAAGGAGGGGGATCACGGAACACCTAATTGCGAGAGTGAAGGAAATATACATGGAGACTATGGCTAGGATAAAAGTGGGAGATAAGCAGAGCGACGTGTTTTGGACGACGAAGGGACTGAGGCAGGGATGTCCGCTGAGCCCAAGTCTGTTTGCACTGTATACGGCGGACCTGGAGGATAGATTGGGGAAGGGGCAAATGGGAGGGTTGGTGGTGGGAGGTAGAAAGGTGCATATGTTAGCATACGCGGATGACATCGTGGTCATGGCGAGAAAAGCGGCGGAGATGAAAGATATGATAAAGACATTGGAAAGATATTTTAGGGGGAAGGGGCTGGAAGTGAATGTGGGGAAGACAAGGATGATGAAGTTTTGTAAGGGTGGGAGAAAAAGAACAGAAAACTGGAGATAGGAGGGAAAAGAGATCGAGGAGGTTAGGGAGTATACTTATTTGGGGTATGTGTTAAGGGAGGACAACAGGGAGGGGTCGCATGAGATAGCTATGGCAAAAAAGGCGAATAAGGTGATGGGACAAGTATGGGGTTGGGGGAAGAGAGTCTTTGGAAGGAATGTTGCAGCGAGGAAGATTATGTTTGAAGGTCTGGTTAGCAGTGTGATGATGTATGGGGCAGAGGTATGGGGATGGAGAGAGCAGGCAATGCTGGAGGACGTGCAAGCTAGATATTGGAGATGGGTGCTTGGGGTGGCGAGAGAAACACCGGGGTATATAGTGAGGGAAGAGGTAAAGGTGGATAAGGTCAGAGTGGAGGCGGGCAGGAGGGCAGTGCAATATGAAGAAAGAATGGAAGGGAGGCCAAATTGCGGGATGTTGGTGGAGTGTTGGAGGGAAATTAGAGAGGGAAAGATCAGATATGGGAAAGGAGACAGAGACAACTATTATAGACGAGCGGGCTACTTGGTAACTGAGATAAATAGTAGACGAAGGGTGGGTAGGAAGATGTGGAGGGAGTTGAGAGATAGGGACCGAGATGTGCAGAGACAGGAAAGAAGGACACAAATAAAAGAAGGAAGGTATAACGAAAGGTACAAGGACATAATTACGGAGAGGCTGCCTAGATACTTGTTATTGGAAGAAGATGAGGAAGGGAAGAAGTTGGTGGCTAGGTTCCGTTGTGGAAACGAGGAGAGAGCTAACAGATACTAGATGGCCGATGAGGAGAGGTGGTGTAGGCTATGCAGGGAGGAATGGGAAACGTTGGAACATATGTTGGATGGGTGCAGTGAGTTGAGGGAGGAGGAGTTGGACCGAGGGCAGATCTTAGGAGAGGGGGGAGAGGGGAAACGATGGATGAGAATGGTTGTGGGGGTTAGGAGACAAAGGGATGAATGAGGGGATGATTGGGCCGAGGAGCCGAGGGTGTGGAAACGGAGGAAGAGGGTAGAGGGTGAAAATAATATATTAATAATATAGATTAGAATGTATTAAGGTAAAAGTGTTAATATTAAAAAACAATAAAATGCTTATTATTATATTGTATGTGCCTTTATAGTTATGATAAACATTTTGATAAAATAATAATACTAACTATTTTTTTGAATTAACATACTTTTATGAGAAATATCACAAAGAGTAAATCTATTATTTACAAATTATAAAAGTTTTTATTATTTTCTCAACTTTGTTATTTTTTTGAACGTATTAATCCAAACCACCGTAAAATATCGGAAAAGTAGCGTGAAACAATGAAAAAGAAACGCTGTACGTATAAAAATTCAATGAAGGAATGAGTGAAAGTCAAGGCAAAACACGACACGGTCAAACATTTTCCAGTTATCTCTCGTAACGAACGGTTGTTCGTCCCAGTTTATCTTCAACAATCGCACTTTAACAAACCGTTCGTTGTTTATTCAACGTTTTAATCGAAACGTTTCATTTAAAAACAACAATTCGATCCGAACGAAATGGCAAATTCCGTTGAAAATGTCCTTTTATCAACCGGAAATAACATGCCTATTCTTGGTTTTGGTACATGGCAGGTATAATTAATAATTTATAATTAATAATTAACAATTTTTAATTACTTTTTTAACGATTGAATTTTAATTAATTTTAGGCAAAAGATGATGAGTTAGAATCCGCTTTAGATGCAGCCTTAGAAGCCGGATATAGACACATCGACACCGCTTACGTTTACGAAAACGAAAAAGTGATCGGTAGAGTTCTCAAAAAATGGTTATCAAGTAAAAAAATTAAAAGGGAGGATCTTTTTATTGTCACAAAAGTTCCCCCGAGCGGTAATTACCCAGATGGGGTCCGAAAATACATCAAAAAATCATTAGAAAATTTACAATTGGATTATTTGGATTTGTATCTCGTTCATGTCCCGTTTCAATTTCGTGACGTCGAAGGTGATCTTCATCCAATGACTTCCGATGGTCGTATCGATGCAGTTATGGACACCGATCATATTGCAATTTGGAAGGTAACATTTTTGTTTGAAAAAATTAGTTTATTACGTAAATGAAAATTCACCTTGAAAATAATGGAGTTTGAATTCATAATTGATATGTAAATTAGACTCGTTTTTTTTTTCTAGGCTATGGAAGAACAATTTAAAAATGGTTTAACTAGATCGATCGGAATTTCAAATTTCAACGTCAAACAGATACAAAGAATCTTGGACAATTCCGAAATAAAACCATCGAATCTTCAAATAGAATTGCACGCTTACATGCAACAAAATGAATTGGTCGATTTTTGCAAGAAAAATAATATTGTTGTTACAGCTTATTCTCCGTTGGGAGCTCCTGGATTGGGGAAATTTTTAGCTCAATTTGGTCAAACGTAAATTTATTAATATTTATCGATAATAATAATATAAATAATATTTTTATTTTTAATTCTTTAAGAATTGAAATTCCTGATATTTTGGGTAACCCGACGGTTACCGATTTAGCTAAGAAACACAATAAAACGAATGCTCAAATTTTATTAAGATATACAATTCAAAAAGGGATCGTTGTTATTCCAAAAAGTACCAATCCAAAACGGATTAAAGAAAATTTCGATGTATTCGATTTCCAATTGGATGATGGTGATATGAAGAAGATGAAAGCTTTAGATAAAGGAACTGACGCGAGGATTTTAAACTTTAGCGGAGCATTTCCAGGGTATAACAACTTAAATCTATTATTATTTAAGTAATTAAAACTTTCTATTTCAGAATTGATAGTCACCCAGAATTTCCATATTAATATATTATTAATGCACAATACTACTTAATTATTGTTATATACACACACGCGCATATATACTTATTATTACTATAAACAGTTAAAAAAGTAGGAGATTGTTGAAAAAAGTTGTTTAAGTAGAAAATTTCGTTTCTACATTGTTGATTTATTCTACATCTTATAACTTGATCGAAACCGCAATTTGTATGTTCGAAGAAATTAAAAATCTATTTAAAATCAATATTTGTATTAATTCTTGAATGGTTTTGCGAAAACTACATCTATTTATAATCCTAACTCCTATTTAAACCTTTTCTAAATATACTTTTTCCAAATATAGAAAAAACACTCTCCGTTTCTTCACTGCTTATAATTTTCCATTTTAAATATTCACCTCGTAGGGCAGGTGAAGAAATTCCATACTACAAATTATAGTAAACAAGGGTGATGATTAGAAGACTTGGAATGTATGGATTCTGTACAGGTTAGAGACATACTTCGGAACCTAATAAGAGAAACTGGCAAATATGTCAAATATACTATATTCTGGACGTCGCCGTACAAGAGATAAGATGGACGGGGTTTTGAACTCTGGAGAAGCGAAATCCAAATACAATCAAAATTATTTATAACTGTAGACCATCTGAACACACAATGAGTACAGTCTTCCTTCTAAACGAGAGAATAAAAAGCCTCATATGCGATTTCAAGGCATACGAATCTGCCTATCACTCACGTTTAAAACACAAACATTAAAATCATCTTGGAAGATAACGCTAAACATAGCTTACACAAGGAATCCAATGACAGTAGACTAATAACCTTTGCGGCCTCCATGATGGAGGCTCCATCATTATGGTCATTATGGTAGTACATGGTTTGAGCAAAAAGACATTCACAAGAGAAAGTGGGTATTCTCAGACAGTCAGATATGGTCAACACGATAGATCACTTCATTGTTAACGTAAGACACCAATCTGACATAATAGATGTGAAAAGTAGGTAAGATGCTAACGCCCAAGGTTTATATATAAGAGGTTGTCTAGATTCGTACGCAATCATACTGCGCATTACATCACATGTGGAAAATAATACCGCCAAGCAATTCAAATTAAACAAATGCACGGAGCACCACATGGCCATGAGGTTGCGTGCGCAATCCGTGATCGCTTACGTCACGAAACACTCCTGCTCTTGCCCCTCGCCCACAAACTAAATCAAAGTATTGTAGCATAGGTACTTAGACAACCTTTAATATATAAACCTTGGCTCTCGTCCTAAAACGGTATGCAACCGCCGCTGCATATTGGAAATTGAATCTGGGCAATAGCGCTGCCAATGGCGCCCTCCCGTGACAATACATATCCATCTACCGCACCTCGGAAGCCGATGGGCGCCGATTCAATATGTGACAAGCTTGTTTGCCAATGTACGCCGGATTATTCAAACTTGTCGCCATGGAATTTGTCGGTTGACAATTTGCTTTCGACAGGTTCAAAGAAGTTGGAAACAAAATATATATGTGGAACGAATTTGTTTAAAACTGAAAGGATGAGTGTTCGATCACTAGTATCGATAACGCGTCCGTTGCAATATTTGCCCAGGGGAACCGATAGTCCCCAATAATGGAGCGACGTCGGGCCACCCTTCCGCCCCATGAATATTCATATCGGCATGCGCTACAATTTCCGGCACGGCGATGCGGGTTTATGTACTTTCGGCCGAAAGTCGCCGTTTAATTAATGGATATTTTTACGGACCCGTCAATATTGTCTTTGGTGTCACACTTGTCCAACTTTCATACTCTGAGTTTCAACCGTCGGCTTTAGAAATAATTTATTGTTTACGATCTGAAAGCGATTTTTTTACGAATAGAAATTCGACCGCGTTGGCCATTTCGAGGGTCCTCCAGACGGCGAGTGTATTTGGGGTTACCGATATGTATTGATTCGACGGAGAGCGGGTAGCAAATATGTGCATTGTTCGAAATATGGCCCCTCGATTGTTCGTCAGTCGAGCGTACGCGAATTTGCCTAATGCATTCCGAGCCCAACGCCCGGGGACCATATTCTTTTTATATTTATGTTTGCGNAGGAAACCCTATCGTTTTCAACCTGTACAAAATTTAAGACCTGAAGATGGTCCTAAAAGAGTAACTTTCTGTAGGTGGTTTGTACAGTCTGTTGAACGTGACCAAAATTTTTGTAAGAAGATTTTGTGGACAGATGAAGCCACGTTTACAAGAAGGGGTGTCGTAAATTACCATAACTTACATAGTTGGGAGCATGAAAATCCCCATGCAATACGTCCAAAAACCTACCAAACAGAGTTTAGTTTTAATGTGTGGATGGGTGTCATTAATAATAACCTCTGTGGGCCTTATTTTTTGCCACCTCGTTTGAACGCAACGATGTTTTTAAATTTTTTGCAAAACGATTTGGCGGAATGTTTATCGGACGTTCCTCTAGGTGATCTGGAGCAACATTGGCTTCAGATGGATGGGGCACCATCGCATTACAGCGCTAACGTACGTGCATGGTGTAACGCACGTTATGGACATAGACGGATAGGACGACTAGGTCCTGTCAATTATCAAGAGGCAAACCGAGGTCCCGTTGCCTGGCCACCAAGGTCTCCTGATCTTAACGTTTTAGATTTTTTTGTGTGGGGCTATATGAAAAATCTAGTTTACGCCGCTCCAATAAACACTCGGGAAGAACTGTTGGGAAAAATAAAAGACGCTGCTAACACTTTAAGGAACAATCCGTTTCAAATATTAGCAGCAGTTAATTCTGTTGTTACAAGATGCCAAAAATGCATTGATAACAATGGCATGCATTTTGAACAATTTTTAAATTAATTGTGTTTATTTTTGTAATGAGTTTTTTTGATAAATTTGTTTCATTTTGATTCTTAATTAGTTTTCTGTTTGTTTTTTAACATTTTTCTCTTGTAATTTCCATTTTTTTAGTATACTATTTAATTTATTATTAAATGTTACTTATCTTTTGAATGATTATTTTAACTTAAATTTAATTAAATTTTTTATTACTTTAATGAGAAAACAAGTCAAGAGACGAAATCGTAAATAATTTGTGTTATTGTGTTAGCCCAAAATCCTGGTAAGTTTACATCTTCCATAGCCAACTTAAAATTTTGTTTTTTATTTGTAGGTAGCGCTTTGCCGCGCAATGTAACATATTTTATTTTTTTACGCAAAAACTATCAATTTTAAGAGAAAAACTAAAGAGACAAAAAAGAACCACTAAAGAATGAGCTGTACAACCCATATTTTTCTATGTTAATATTGCATTGCGTTAAAAAGTTCTTCTAAAAAGAACCAAGGGGGTGGTGAATTTCATCCCCTTAGAGGGCGCTAGGGAAGCTTAAGGTATGCTAGAAAACAAGATGTTAACCAGTAGTAAATACATACCAAATTTCAAATTCTTCGGTTTACTTATAGCCGAAATAAATAATAAAATGTAAATTTTTAGCTCAACTTTGATCGCTCATAGCTCGAAAAGAAAAGAGTTGCGACCCTATGTTTATATAAAAAACTTGTGTTATTTTGGCAAGTACTACGTCCTAGTAAAGTTTCCCGATTAAAAACTGAACCACCCTGTATAAACCTTGGCTAACGCCGACTTTGATCGCTACCTGGTAGTGAGTAATGTCAGAGCAAGAATTATGAATGTTAAAAGGACAACAAGACAAGAACACGAGAAATTGAATCTACAGAACCTCAAAGATTACAGCACAAATACAGCGTATAAAGAGAACATAAATCTGAAGCTAGGAAATAGACAAAAGAACAGCGAACAGTTGATGAACAATGACTGATTTGATGAAAAGTGCGTAAAACTAAACAAACGGAGGAAGAGCCTAGAACACGAAGGAGGGAAAAAGTAAAGAACTCAGATAGAAAAAGAGAGGCCCTTTATGGTAAAGTGAGGGAATTAAGAAAGTAAGAACACAGTCGGACGATAGAAAATTCTATCAGAATCTGTAATAGGACTTGGAAAGGATTTAAACCTAGAACAATAATAATTTTGCAAAACAGTTGTCNCTGTTGATGTGGTAACTTCTAACCGCATACAGAGAGTGCAAAACAGTTGTCTGAGGTATATTTATGGTATTAGAAAATTTGATAGAGTTACTCATAAGCTAAAAGATATAAAATGGTTGTCAATGAAACAAAGAAGAGACCTTCATAGCTTATGTCTCTTCCATAAAATTATAATCTCATGTAAGCCAGAATATCTGTATAAAAAAATTAAGTTCAAACCGGCAACAAACCCATATGTTACGAGATTAAGCAATCCTATATATCCACCAAAACATCGAACGTCTCTATTTGAAAGAAACTTCAGCTATCACATCTATAAATCTTATAGTAAATTGCCAAGTGATATGCAAACTCTGAACTTATGCACATTCAAAAAGTGTTTGATGCGACTGTGGTTTCAACAGCAAGGGGGAGAATAATATCTGATGCTGGGATATTTACCGTTGGCAGGTTGGAGTTTGTGAAGGCAGTATAAATTTGTATTTTTTTTTTTTTGCTTTAATTGTTGAAGTATAGTAGAAACCACGAGAGCTGGCAGTGACAGATCGCTTAAAAATGGTATGAATCAAGATATGGACGTACGACTTAGATTATTTCACCACATACATTTAAATGTAGGTTATGTTAGTAATGGAGGTTATATGTCAAACATTGTCAAAGATATTATTTAATGATTTTCCTTTCAAAGAAAACATTTTCGGCTTGTGAAAACACTAACAGATTCATGACAACGCTCACAAGACGTTTCGATTTGAGGTTATAATTATAGAGTGACATCCCTTAGAAGAACAGACGTACTTTTTCGACGTGGCCATTTGAATTGTACAGCAGACATATTAAACTAATGCTATCTCTTTCCAACACACATTACTCTCTAGCGGTTTGTGAACTACGTATGGCATTTGTAAGAGCGGAAAATGATGATTTACTGCCAGCTCTCGTGGCGTCTACTATATCTTATAATTTATATCATATGCTCTTTTTTCTTTTTTCTTTTATTTTCTTTCTCATGTTTTTTTTTCGGTTAATTTTTATTTTTTTCTTTGCAACCAACTGGGTTGGTATGAGCAGACTTTGTCTGGAACCCGCCCATTGTGTTCCTTCTTTAATTTATATTATGAAACAGAATGTTATTTGTATTCCGTGGAAGGCACAATAAAGATATATTATTATTA